CCAAACGTTCGTAGGCGAGGCTGATAAACCTATCTGAGCTCGGGTCTGACTCACAGACAAAGAAATATTCGTCACAAGACGGGCTATTCTCCTGTTGTCCTGAGCAGTCAAAAGACGTGGGTGGCCAGGAATAGGTTGTGAGCAATAGCTGCCAGGGTCTTGAATGAATCCAGCAATGCATGAGAAAGAGCGGACCATTTACCGTTTCGAAAGGATGCGCACACTCAAAATTTTTCATTTGAAAGGTAACTAAAGAACCCACCGTAACGGAACCATTCTCTAACGATTTCTCGTAGTCGATAACCTTCACAAAAATTTAGGGGGCCTTACTGATTTCTGATCTCAGCTATATTTTTGTTTTTTGCTAAGTATGCACATACTTTTGAAACAAAGAAAAAAATTTTCTTTAATAAAAAATTTTGTTAACAGCTACGATGTTTTCTCAGAGAACGTGGTCGTAGGTTACCGCACACAAGGAATCCAATGGTGAAGGTCACAGGTTACAGAAAGCAATGGTATTCCCAAAAAAACAAAATGTTGGGTGTGCACATACTTTCGAAACACACTGTAATACAAGCTGTGGGTGGAAATTCCCAGAGTAATGGTGCTCGGACACACTTTGTCGCACATTGCCAGCCGTCGGTGTGATGGCTCCTCACGAAAACTCCGGAGCAGATAAATATAATGCCTCGGGTTCCTCGGATCCTCCAATTAGGATGATCCTTTTGACTACACATACATGACTAGTGGCAGAGGCAAATGGAGGTCGTCGCCCGCTCGAGTATATCGCTGATCAACGAGATGGCAGCTAAGACCGACGATACTCGAGCAACAGAGAGAAGTGCTATTGTTTATGTGTGCATGTGCCAATTAACATAAACATTCACGAATCAGCTCTTTTGGCCTGATTTTCAACAACAAGGCTCATCAACGCTTTATGGATCGAAAATTCTGAAATGAGGGTACGTTGATTAGACTTTTCTTATAAATTTCTACATATTTACTTCTCCTGTCCCCTCTTTTCTCTTAGAGATTCACGGTCGGACGCCGAAGCCCTCTTTGAAGTGTCAGGCTCTTTGGATTTCTTTTCGAACAACTTGGAAAGTGTAGGTTGCACTGGTGTTAACTGGTTGAACATTTGTCCTTCCTCGGAAAGGAGTCTTGTTGCATCCGACAGCTCTTTACTTTCTTCCCCAGGAACATCCCTCACGCCTTCTTCTCTGCTTTCTGGAGGACCCTTCCTACTGACTGCACTCGCTTTGCTGGTGTCTTCAGAAGGACGTTTGGATTTATCTTTCGAGACTTTCTCGTCACTGAAACGCGGAATTTCTTTTGAAGTGACTCCAAATTTGGACATCGACCATAAATGAAAAAAGTACCCTTTCTGGCCTATGCTCTCCAGCTGGATGTTTTTGGTCTCCTGAAATGGCACACTTTGAGTGGATCAGATTAAGCTCGTGACGCAACTTCTGCTTCTGTCAAAGGAGCGACTGTACATAAATTTTTTTCACTCACTCATCATCACTCAACTAGTGCATATTCCTTGCTTCAGGCCGGAATGTACACCTACTCCCATTTCAATATTTTGACATATTTGGTATGATTTTAGGAGTGAAGTAAAGAAAGGCTAAGCGATCTGTGCCACAGAATCCCGACGTTAAAAAAGATTCATTAGAGGAAGACAAACATCGTCTGTTTGAAACTCACTTTAAGTAAAGTGACCGTGACGACAAAACTGAACAAGTTCGACGCGAGGACTGCTATGAGTATTGCTTCATCCCAGACGCCTTTGAATGAGCCCACCTGAAGCATTCCAAACAATGTGTCGTATATGGTCAACTTTTTCATAGCCACATACCACTCGTGCAGCTATGACGTTGGATACTCGAGAGATTATATTCAACAGAGCCGTAGTTTTCGCTCGAACTTCCGTGGGCATGAGCTCGGCCGCCCCCAGATAGTTAGGCTCCCAAGAAACCGAAATGGATTGGTATGCTATGAGATACGTAACGAAATATAGGGTTGAGCCCTGAAAGTTTTCTTTAAAATGTCAAGTAAAAAATTCGATTTCTTACTATTACTTTGACTTTGTTGAATTATTACTGTATAGAAACTGTTTGCTTTAACTATTGATAGTTGCACGAGGCATGGCTTCGAGGGACATGAACATACACTCGTTATGGTACCACTCTCAGAGCTGCAGAACCTTGGAATTTCTACGCACGCTAGCTAACACTATGTGCTACAACATGCTACAGTCGCATTTCAAAATATCCCCATGAGCGCGGATAAAAGTGAAAATTTGCTCTCGACTTGATCGTATGTTGCGCGCAGGTATCCTTCTCCAGGGACCATTCGTGGAAGTCAAGTGAGTCAAGTTCTGGAGAATAGGATGACTATTCTTCTTCACCAATAAAGTCGGGCAGCTGTCGTCGGCACCACTCGCGGGCAAGCTTGGCTCTGTGGGCTGGAGAAAGTAGTCAGATCAGTGCTTCATTACTTCCATCAGTACGCTGTTTGAGTACTGGTCTTGGTCAATTCATGCCTGCACAGAAAAAACCATGAGCGGCTTACCCTTGCCAGTGGTTTCTTCAAAAAACTTCATTTTATTGTTCTTGTAGCAACCTTTTTGTGAAACTTTGCATGCTAGGTGTTTCTTTCTGGAACGCGAACGTCTCGGTTGTTGAGGGATGGTTTTATCGTGAAAAATTTCTTGTCCAGAGAAAACGACGAAGGGTTGCGTGTCATCACTCAAGTGGGTCTGTGATTTTCTGCATTTTTTGGTCCTGCAGTGTCTGTTGAGATCGGAATTGAAGCGAAATTTCTGCAAACGATAGGAATGGCAGTGAAGCTTCTGCATGACATTATTCCATCGCGGTAACTCCTGTAAACCGTGCCCGTTGACTTCCTTTTGATGAGTGACCCAGGATCCCGACCGGTTTTCAGACCTATTTTAATAGTCCTACCTTCAGAAACATTGGTCTTTCCACCTCTCCTGGTTTGTCTCTGATACAATCTTCTTTTCTATATCGTTTAATAGCCTCCTATACGGTTATTAGAAAATCCCAAAGAATTTCATAAGCCCTTCCACTTCTCGCGCGTCAATGATTGCAAGTGGCATTGAATGAGCCTCCTCCATCCGAAAGATATTGGGAGTTCCACATAAGTAACCATGCATATTGCGAGGAAACCTTCTTAAGCAACTAAGAATATTGCAAAGAAACCTGTTTAGGCAACTAATTAATTACGGGTAATGTGAACTTGACAAATTATTTCTACCTTAGAAATTCTAAATTTGGGCGCCAGTAATTTTGGGACATCCTGTATATCGCTATGCCTATAAGACCACCTACCATGGTAGGTTAGATAGATGTGAAGCAAAGGTATCGTTAAGGCTAACGCAGATTCAGCCTTATTGTGTTTGCAGCAACGAATTTGAGATGTGTTACTACTTTTAAAATTACTCATCGTGGTTCAGTCACTATGCGTATTCACAGTAGAAGGAGAATAAACCAGGGACGCCCGCTATGTCCGTGCCACTTCTTGTATGACCTTCCCCCTTAGGCGTAGCTTGGCACGTTCTGAAATTCTCCAGTACTCCTTCCTGTGTGTTATGCATGATGAGCGGGATTTAGATATTCACGCACTCAGCAAGCAATCTGACGTCCCGAGTCCCAATTCGAACGGGAGTCGTTAGTCGATATTGCTTGCTCTTCGACAACACTCCCGTATTCGTCACAAAGCACTAGCGGTCAGTGTAGGGTGCGCTTCGTTGCGCGTGTCCGTCGAAACTAGGTCACGCCGCAG